TTGTCCACATATTCTGTTGTTTGTTGTTTGTGTATACATATCACTTCATGCTATTTACTCTACACTAATTTAGTTAATAAACATATATAACTGTATGTCCTTGTCTGTGCGGGTTTGTTTGATGTGGAAAATCGATGAATTGTGTAAAAGAAATCACTACTTCAGAATATGAGATTGAATATAGATTTTGAGATTGAATAAATTGATTTAAAATTGATTTGATTAGATTTTTGGAATAATTTCCTCCGGATCATTCCAGTAGCTAAACAACGGAGGTGGTGCCCCATTTACGAGTTTATTATTAATCACCAGTGATTAATTACCTTTATTATTAAGTAGTATAACCCCTTACACTGCCACATTTACCCTTTCACACACATTTACTCAGTGATGGCAAAGGCCATTAAACGGAAACTAACGCATTCATACACATTCACCTACCGATGCACAGCATTCAGTATCTTGCTCAAGAATACTTCGACGTGTGCAGGAGGAGCCGGGGATCGAACCAACAACCTTCCAATTAGTGGACGACCCACTCTGCCTCTGAACCACAGCCACCCTTATTAAGTCTGACCTTTAACTCCAACCACACTGCTTCCAAGAATAAGTGTGGTTTAATATGTTAGATTTAATATTACTGTAAGTACACAGTGAGGATAACAGGAGTTGTGTTGAAGTCACCTGAGCCTGGCGGAATCGCCTAAACCTAACAATATATAAATGATGCAACACCCTGGTCTCTGGTGTCAAAGTCCTGAGCTTCCAACAATCCACCACAACCTCCTTCCTATGTGTTCAGTACTACAGAGTAACTACAGTTTCTAAATACATACAATTAATCACATTTACACCATATTGTATGGCAGTCTGGCCAGTCATTATTGAGATACAATGTAGACCACAAAGACAAAAAAGAATAAAATTTTTCTGCACTCAGTGACAGTGACATTAGTAACCCTCTTAAGATACTGACAGTGCCTAATTTAAAGTATAAAATAGTTTTATTGTAGTTTGTTGTGGGACAGCCTTCTTAGTCTTTGCTGTTTATCCATCAGCTTTCCTGGCCTACAAATCTTGTTCTCCAGATATTAGAAAACATTGTTTGTTTGGTATAGACCCCAACAAATCTCACATCACAATTTTAATCGTTTTTTTCAGTTATAATAAATGTTTTGATGCAAAAATAATCATTCCCAATAATTGTGAATCATATTGCAATATCTGTTAAAAAAAATCTAATTCAAATTCAAATTATTATGTTTTCTGATTCATATATCAAGTCAACAATCAAAAGACGTGTTTATTTTTACACAGATTTTGGGATGGACTGATGGATGTGGTGTCCTGGACAAAATCCAGTTTATACTTCCCTAGGCTGGTCTCCTACAACCCTGACCGTTGACCTGGTTGACAGCCTCTTCACCATCTGCCTATCTCCAGTTGGTAGCAATAGAAGGTGTGCTGAGGAAGTTGTTGTTCCTTTGTGGAGAGACTACTTAACAGATGCAAGGTTAATGTAGAAGCATTTAAGCGTTTCTTTCAATCAACTGAAATATCTTCTCACCTGAAATTAACAATGTACTGCATCTTTTTTCTAAATTTAATTTCTGATGTATTGCTTTTTCTCTAGGTCAAGAGGTAATACAGAAGCTGTGGACAATTATCATCTGGAGCCAATACTGTGTCAAGTCTTTATTTGACTTGTATGTACTTGACACTCATATGCATGTATTTTGTCTAACTTTTTTTAGTATCCATTACTTCCACTGACAAGGAAGTTCCTAATTTAGCAGGAAGTCACTCTTAAACCAGGAAGTACATGTGTAAGACTTGCTGACCTGACATTAAAAAGCAGGATGACTTGAATAGCATCATTGTGTACATAATGCAGAGAATTGTATAAAAAGTTTAATATAATATCAGGAAAACACATCGCTGATGCAATATTTAATAATCTGCTCAAAATTCATCCAAATCATTAATTTTACACAAACTTCATGCAGTTATTGTGTTCACTGTTTGTTCAATGTATAGTTTATCAGTTCTTCTGTACTGTTACTGTTATGAATGTAATACGTTATAGTCCTTTTATGGTTGTCTGACTACTTATTATAAAATTAGACAAAGAACCAGGTCTGAGGACAACCACTATATAGTATTTGCATTTTCTTAACCTCTGATAATAAAAAAAATAGTTGAATGTTTCTATGAGAATGGATCAAATATATATTTTTTGGCATTTTTACAAAATAGTGATTGATACATTATTATTTTTTAATTTTGATTGCCTCTAATTTGTCCATTATGTTGGAAAGGTGTCAAAAATATTTATTTATTTTCATAGACATATGAAGCTATTTTTTTTTATCAGAGAGGATGAGCAAATGCATGGTTTTGAAATAAAATGTCTGCTACTTTGGTCACATATCAATTAAAGCATTCATTAACATACCTTATCTGATGATCTATTCAGTGTGAACTAATCACAAAAAGTCATAGTAACTTGATCATTTTTCTAATGGTGAGCGACAGGAAATCATGATACATCCTATATTAATTTATACAATAAATGATCATAAGTCATGCATTTGTTAAGCATTATTTATGTATATGATTTGTACCCTTGGGAGCATACTTTTACTTAAGTAAAGGATCTGAATACTTCTACCGCCACTGGTAGTCAGTTTCCTAAAATGTACTTGATGTGGTGGAAAAAGTACTTGAAGACTCTTTGAATGAAAGTACATGTAAAAACATTGGATTACAGGTATAAATCCTGCATTCACATTTTTTTAAGTCTAGAGCAAAATGGACTGAGCATCAAAAACAAAAGAGCTCATTACTGATAATTTTTTATTTTAGTGTTAAATTATTGATGCACAACAATGAACTAGATACATTTTTCCCATACATGATTTACTCTGATTTCATTTTCTTTAGGCACAACAGAGCCTCTAGTGTTTTGTCACTTTTCATTGCTGGTGTCCATAACTTTGGAATACCGTCCAGGGTAAAGATGATCATGGACTGGAAAACACATAATGATGACATGATGTCAAAAATAGGATGCAAGATTTTTTTTAAATAGATATAGATTTTCTAGTTATTTCATATACAATTAAAATTAAATCTGCAAGCAGCGATGAGTGGGCCCTCGCACTCAACTTGCACGCAACTCGGGGTGTGCTGCGGCCGCGTCATGTGCCGTCGTAACACGGACCACGACATGAAAATTTTGCGGAAATCAGATCATAATCGCATTGCAGCGCTTACTTCCTGTTGCCAGTAGGTGGCGCTCTCACTACATCTGAATATTGTCATGT